TTCTAGGTCCTTGGTTCTGAAATGATTTTTATGTCATTTATTTTAGGGCGTAGGACAATGAAAGCAATGTTTCTGGGTGTCTTTCACAGATTTCCCTAGTCCTCTAGCCAGATGCCTTTCCGATTTCCCTGCTGATCAAAATATGTTAGAGGGAGTAGATAATAGCCATTGATACAGTCTTATTAACAGATTCATCTAATAAAATTTCCTCACTGAGAAATTCACAATCAGTGGGTAATTCTAGGTTAAAAATCTACTTCACCACGCTTCCCTTACCGGGATGTAGGGGTCATCATAAAATAAGATAAAAAAACACAGAAACATACAAGAAAAAACTTTTTGTGAAATAAAATCTCATATCAAATTAATTCAATACTTATGTAGAGGACAAAAGAAGAGAACAACTATATGTACATATTGTGGGGAGTAAACCTAGCAAAAGTCACTCTAAAACAGTATTGAAAATTCTGTCAGAAAATCTCAAATTCAGAGGGCTCAAGGAAGCAACAGCTGTTCAGCACAGCTGAGAGGAGATCCTGTCAGCAGCATGAAAATGGGATGAAAAGGAGCCACAGTATGATGTCACAGGCGCTGAGAAGGACTAAAAAGTAGTTGGGACGGAGAAGCTCCAATGAAAAACGCCATGAAAACATGGCAAAACCAAGTAAAAACTGCAGGGTGAAGGCAACAAACATAAATGCAACAGGAAGATAAGGTAAAATCCAAAGTGTTGGAATGTTTTAGGAGGCATAAACATTGTGTGCCAAAAGCAAAATACTTTATTTAATTAACATGCATAAGTAAGAGAAAACATAGGAATTAAATAAATATCTATACAAATTATAAAAGCTAATAAAATGAATAAATAAATGAATATGTGTACATTGTAATACTTTTCTGAGGAGCAGCAGAGAAAGAGCAGGTTCCACTGACTAGGATAGACTTTATAGACTTGGCTATGCACTGATTGTCTGTTTATGATAACTTTGACTATAATTTTATTGTCCATTCTTTTCTTGTCATTAAAGTTTGTTTTGTTCAATCTATATATTTGCTGCTGAGGATTAGTAAAGAAAGAATATTGCAAAATATTAGCCTCCTGTTGGTTATAAAATTACATTTCAGGTGCACCATAAAGAGAAACTGCTATGTTTATAAATAGGTTAATCCAGCCTCTAAAGCCTCTAGTGGCTGTCTCATTGACAGCCGCTAGAGGCGTTTGCGTGCTTCTCACTGTGAAAATCACAGTGAGAAAAACGCAAGCGTCCATAGGAAAGCATTATGAATGCTTTCCTATGAGACTGGCTGAATGCGCACGCAGCTCCTGCCGCGCGTGCGCATTCAGCCGACGGGGAGGAGTAGAGGCGGAGAGGAGGAGAGCTCCCCGCCCGGCGCTGTAGAAAGGTAAGATTTTAACCCCTTCCTCTCCCCAGAGCCTGGCGGGAGGGGGGCCCTGAGGGTGGGGGCACCCCCAGGGCTCTATAGTGCCAGGAAAACAAGTATGTTTTCCTGGCACTATAGTGGTCCTTTAACATCCATGCATTTTATACAGTATTACACTGTTGTTTATTTGTTTTTTTACTTCTTTTTCACATTTCACATGGAGACATATGCATTACAAGCAGAAGGGTAAGTTTATACATTAAGCGCTCCACGTGTTTGGGGTTATGTTTATCACCAAAATACATGCTTTGAATAATTTTAACATTCTATATTTAGTCATATAAAATGTCTTTAAAATTAAAGCAAAATAACCCTTGTCTGCTTGCTTACAGCTCCATGTTAATTAGGTGATTATACATTACATTACCCGACTACTGTAAATTGGCAGTGAAGTTTACATTTATAATAATTATAATCATCTTCAACTTTATCCATAATCTTCCAAGTTGTTTTTAAAATAAAATACAAACTTTTATTTAAATGCTAGTGGCTACTTATTTTCTACTTATTTACAAGGAAAGGTTAAAGGAACTTAACATGTATAGCTTGGAGGAAAGACAAGACAGAGGGGATGTGATAGAAACATTTAAATACATAAAGGGAATCAACACAGTAAAGGAGGAGACTATATTTAAAAGAAGAAGAATTACCACAACAAGAGGACATCATCTTAAATTAGAGGGGCAAAGGTTTAAAAATAATATCCAGAAGTATTACTTTACTGAGAGGGTAGTGGATGCATGGAATAGCCTTCCAGCTGAAGTGGTAGAGGTTAACACAGTAAAAGAGTTTAAACATGCGTGGGATATGCATTAGGCTATCCTAACTATAAGATAAGGCCAGGGACTAATGAAAGTATTTTTAAAAATTGGGCAGACTACATGGGGTGAATGGTTCTTATCTGCCGTCACATTCTATGTTTCTATGTTTCTATGTATATTTAGTGTCAATGTTGTGCTTTTAAAATCTTTTCAACTTTCATCATATATATGACTAATAAATTGGTTGTATGTTTACTATTTAAAACTAATATAAATATATTAATATACAGATAGCATTTCAGAAGAAGAGTTTAATGAAACATTTTCATAAAATAAACTGATTAATATAATTGTAATAAAAACACATGGAAAAAAACTCCAGAATTTTATGGAGACTGTGTATCAATAAGGAGTACCATATTTATTTTGCAAGAACTTCTCTATTGAACCTAGTTTCAGGCCTCTCCTATTATGAACATACTTATAATTGTGTTGTTACTTCGTATAGACCAGCAACAAGGTTGTGAATCTGGTGGTAATTTGTAGCCACTATAAGCTATTGGCTGTTCTTAATAGAGACACTTGCGACTTACCAACAAGATTGTAAATGAGCCCTATGTCTGTCATTTGCCTTTGCTTTATGACCCACACAACTATAAACTCCTCATTACTGATATTCCTCTCACTTTTGTCATATCCCTTGGGTCAGCAGTGTGACAGCATGGCCAACCTAGCACAGACATTTTGGCACAAATACATTTCCACACACATTTTCAAGTACAATTCTATTAAGTACAGTGCTGTAAGGAAAGTGAAAAATATTAAACATTCTATGTATCTAATTTGTTTTATTAATGTTTTAATATACTGACCGGGTTTAAAAAGTCACAAAAGGTTCATTTTGAGTATCAATTTTCAAGTTGTTAGCAAACAAAAAATGTAATCCTTTGGAATAACTACTAACCAATTCATGAATAATATTTAACCAAAGTGGTCATATGCCACTATACTTTGTGACGTGCATTTTGGATCCATGAGAGGAGCGGAATGTTGTTGTCTTGAAATGGCCTTCTGAAATGGAACCAAATTATAGGGCACAAATAATGTGGCATTGGCATTCTAATATTTCCTTTACCCATCCCAGTCTAATGTCTGTCTCCCTATTTAAACTTCCAAACTGTGAATTAGGGAAGAGCACTCACCTAAATAACAGTTTCAGTAATAAAATCCAGTGAAAAGAAATTATATCCAATTGCAGTAACGTTTCATTTTCAAAATGTTGCTGCTAATGGGTTGCAAAGAAAGAGATAATAATTTATAGTGAGTGCTAGACATCATTTCTGTTCTTTAAACTTACAGGCCACTGAGCAAATCCTTCCTTTTCCCCAACAGATACAATTCCTCCTAATTTAGCTCAGCAAAATGTTCATCCTGACTTGCATCATGAGACTATACATAGAGAAACAAACAGGAAATGCTATGATATTGCAAATCCTCCTAAATCTCAAGGGACAATGGATTACTAATGGGTGTATGAGGGAAGCAGTCATCCTAAGACGACAGTCACAATTGGTTGTCATTTGGGTGCCCCCACTTAATAATGGACATTTGCTGTTTGTAGAAAGGTTTGTGGGGTCACAGAGGAGGGTATGCTGGTATTCTTTATCTATATCTTAATGATGTTTCAAGTGCAGTAGTTAATGTAATTTCCCAATACACCATCCACTCAGATGTGGCAGCATGTAGATATAGACCGCCACAAAAGGAGGAACATGCGTAGTCTCTGCTGCAATTTCACTGAGCCATGCTATAGTTCTAGTGGATGGGAGTATGACAAGGCTCATGAGGGGGTTGGAGGGTGGACATACACTAAAGTTGGTAGTAGAATGTTGTCAGACACAAGTGTGTAAGAGGAAATTAGATAAAACACAAAGGATGTTGGTAGCTAAAGGATACACTAGACAAGGCCTTAAAAGACCCACAAAGTTGTAGAGAAATACAGAAATGTATTGGGGGTTAGGGCTATTGAGAGAACAAGACGTTACACTGTTCTTTATAGTATGCCACATCCTATTTGTTCCTAAACATTTATGCAAATTGCATAGAACTCCAAGGATACACCGTACCTGTAGCACAAAGCTCCCAAATCAACATCTCTGGATTTCTATGCCACAAAATCATGATTTAACTGAGGCTGCAAATTTGAATGGGTGCAACATCTCCAGCTTTTATCCATGATGTCCACCTCCACAAACAACACCAAACACCATCTCAGTAAGTAACAAACCTTCATTTCATATTTAAACACAATGCAAAATCACCAAGTCCCTACCAGTTGTGATGTTTTGCTACTCACCTCTAAATAACTAGCTGTGGATTTGTCAAAATATTGCATTTCCCGTCTAACATTTTCCATCAATCTTCATATAAATTGGGGGCTTTCATACTCCAGTTTCATTGGTGATTACATAGCTGTACCTACCTTGTGCACTTTGAATTAGTCATTCCTTTTCTTAATCCAGTTAATGTTATATTTACCCCATTGCTTTGTCCAATATATATGCAATAGTGAATCATTCTCCACCACCTGGGAGCTGTGTATAATTATGGCACCATTCTTGATTGCAGGTTCATAACCTATACCGTATCTGGATGTGTATCGTATTTATCAATTTCTCCACAATTAAATAACACAAAACCATAGAATTTGTTTGCACGCAATAAATTAACGATTTACGGTTTAAAATTGTAGAAAGAAAAAAAAAACACTGTTTGTAAATGTGTTTTATGTTTTTTTTTTTTATTAATATTTTGTATGCATTTATGGCTTTGAGCAAAGACAAAAGAAAAAATAAAATCCTCCCTGATCACACAGTAACTGTAAGAATCAGTTTATCATTTAGTTCATTTTGTTTCCAGCAGCATTAAGATCCAGTCTTTACAAAACACATTTCATCCTGTACAGATGTGAAATTCTATATGTACATACATACAGAGGGATAGATAGATAGATCAGTTTGTCTTCAAAAGACTTTTATATTACAGGAATGTGAACCAAATAACCTAAGTCATATATACATTCATCTATAAAGATTTGTACTGGTGTGTTTCTGTGTATACATGTGTCTGTGTAGTCATTTATATATTTATAATTAGAAATATAAACAGAGACATATAGAATTGCATTGCTTATTTCTACTTTATATCTCTTGTAGGTTCACCGGGGTAATCTGTTATTAATTTACAACTCTTTGTTCTTTAACTCTGGCCCTAAAAGAGTTAAATGTAATTTGTTTTTGTTTTTTACATATATCAATTTCATATGTACAGAAATATTTATTTTGTAACTTTGGCTCTGTTTTGGTCCAGATCTCCAATATTTAAAAATGAAAATAATATAGTACAGTATATCCCATTAAATGAAATACCTTCTAACACTGAGAAGACTGTTTACTTGTTAAGTACCAGTGGTAGCTTATATTGTCCAAAATCTATGGTTTTTAGAGACCTTACTCTGACATGGTTTAACCTCCTCGTCATTTACCATAGAGTTTAGGATGGTGACCAATTATGAAGATAAATTGTTCCTTAGGAGCTTAAATTCTAGACAGGAGCAGATCCTCCTTGATAATGAGTTACCGTTTCTTTTTTTATGTGAAATATTTACATTAAACAAACCATACAGCTTAATAGCTTAAGTTGTCTGGTTAATAAGTGTAAATTGTAAAAAAAAAAAAAAATGTATATATACTTGCATATTTATTTACTAAAGTGAATTCTCACTTTCATAAATAAACCTGATATTAAATGTGACTTATTCCTAAAACATCCCCACGAGCTACATTTTCTCTGAAGACAATATTATAGGGGTCCAGAAAGAAACTCAGTTTCTAATTTGTGACCTTATTAAGTTTCAGAAAGCAAAATATGACTGAAAACTTAAAAACCCTTAATACTTTTTAGTTAACACATGTGTATATTGATTGTATATTGATTGTTTGTCCTCGTGGGTTTTAATGCATTTGAAATGCAAATTTCACATATTGGTGCTATTGTCAGAAGTGATATAAATATTCATTGGAACTTTCTACATATAGCTTTCATTTGGTAATGCACATGAAATAAACAAAATAAATGGCAATTTTAATCAAAAATGTAAGTTTGTGTTTAAATGAATGCAAGCAAATTGCAAATTTATGTAATTATATGTGCCTGCTTTTCACACTAATATATTATAGACATTTATACTTACAGATGGCATTAGTTTTTACACTTTTGCAAAAATTTCTGTAGATATCAAAATATGAAAAAGACAAAATACAAATTAAGTCTGATATTATGCAATTATCATGATACTTAAAGGGGCACCAAAACATGATAGTCACCAAAACAACTTTAACTTTGTGAAGAAGTTTGGCTATATAGATCATGCATTTGAAGTCTCACTGCTCAATACTCTGCCATTTATGAGTTAAATCACTTTTGTTTCTGTCTATGCAGACATAGCCACACTTCCCCTGGCTATGACTCTCACAACCTGCATGAAAAACAAAATGGTTTAATTTTCAATCAAATGTTAACTTGCTTTATCTCTTGCTCTGTAAATTGAACTTTAATCACACACTGGAGACTCCTGCAAAGTCTAGCAAGCTACTAACAGTGCAGGAAATAGGAAATTCCACATTAAACAAACTGTGCAATAAAGCGAGTATAAACATTAGATATCACTTTACAGGAAATTATTAGGAAGGCTGTGGAAGTCACATGCAAGGAGGTGTGACTAGGGTGCATAAACACATATCACATAAAAAATTATTATCCCCTCAGTCTGCCCTCCCAGATCTCCCTCCCGCTCGTACGAGGGGGAGTGATGTCAGTGAAGAAGGATTGGGCTGAAGGAAGAACTTGTCCTCTGCGATGGAAAGGAGGTAACTTTTATTTATTTATTTATTTTTTTGTTAGGAGGCAGACCAAGACTCCAACCAAAACCACTGGTTTATGAAAACACTAGTTTTTTGGTTGGAGTAACCATTTAACTTATTGCACTTGCTAAATGGAACCAATGCATTTTAGTGGACTGTGCTATTTGTAGTAAGATTTTTGATTTTGATAAAACCTTTTAATATTAATATTAAAATTATTATAATGGTGCAACTTTCTATATATAATTTTATTTTCAGGTAGTGAAACATCAATAATTGTCTATGACAAATCAAGATCCATAAGGATATCAGTCATACTTTTGTTTTAGTATCTAGAATATTTGAGCAAACAGTAGGGAAACTAAAATATTGCCATGTTCATCCGTAGTAAATATATTTGTAGATATATTTGTTGTTTTTTAGATTAAATCTTATTTTTTTTACTTAATTATACTTGTGCTTGCTTGAAAAATATAATTGAATTATTTTAATTATGTATTTCTTGCAAGAATTAAACATATATAGCTAAAATATTATAAATCATATGCATATATATATATAGCATAGCATAGCAATCAAAATTGGTTGCTCTAACTATCTTGATACTATTTAATTTCAAGTGGCTACTTAATCAATATGTTCATAAAATGTAAATGGACAAACACTTCTGAGAATTTGTCATATAATGTTTAAGTATCCCTATATTAAGCAAAGTTGGTTTGTTTAAAAAGAAAAGAAAAAAAAAGATAATTAAATGTATAGATAAATAACTTTATCTTGCAAATTGGCGACTCCATTTTAGCCTCCTCTCAGTCATTGCTACAAACTCTATGCTTTCCACTTTGTCACTTGGCAGTCAGCATACAGAAAGCATCCGTAAAGAAAGGAGAAATAAGACAATGTTCATATTTCTCCTCCTCACTTGCAATGTCTGTCCTGCATTTGCATTGTCTGAATCGGATTATGTAGTCATTTGCTAAATCTTTAGTATAACTTTTTAAAAGAAAATGTAACATCTCAAGAAAAAAAAAAAATTCAGCCCAACTTATAGGTTATTTTCAATAGTTTTGTTTTCAGTAAAATCCAGATAAGTGACACTTCCCATTTAAGCCACTCCAAAGTAGCATCTTACTTTGGAAATTATTAGTATATTAACACAATTGTACAATTTCAAACCAAAATGAACATATCAGATTATGAAAACATTTTTAAACATTTCAACAACTTTTAACACATTTTATTTTATCAGCTAAAACATATGTTTTCATAATGTGATATGTTCTGCAAGTTTAAATCAGTTAATATTTTATTTATGTGTGGAAGACTTCTCAAAAATGTTTTTGATGCAGACCTCATATATTGTATTGTTAACATAGCAGAGCTTGGTATTATTTTTTACTTGACTTTTCCATATTGTACTTCGATAAAGTGTTCTTGAGTTATACACAAAACTATTTTCCATAAAATTAGAGACATTTCATAGATTAATTTGACGTAACATCATTCAAGTAAGCAACCACTAAAAGGTTCACTTAAAGAAATTAGTAACGGTTTAAACCTGTGTCCTGTTGGTTATTTTTTTATTTATTTTTTTATAAGGTTCTAATACCTCCTAACATTTTTTGAAAGTATTTCCTATTTGCTAAAATGTCAATTCACAGTTAAGAAATGTCATTCTTAAATTAAAGAAAAAAGAATTCATAGAATTAAAATCTAGTAATAAAAATTGCACACATTTTAAAGGGCCACTACAGGCACTTGTTAGGTACAATGTAGGGTTTTTTACTGATATCCTTTAACTTTAAAACAAAACAAAATTAAGTTTTTTGAAAAGTAATTTTTATCCTTTCTGCCCATTTCCTCCAACTTCCAATGGTTTCCTTCTTGGTCTAATTATACTATTGTACTATGATCATTTATATCTGATTGAGAGGATAGACAGCTAATGTTAGCATTTATTAGGTTACAAATTAAAACACATATAGTATAAAAATAAATATAAAGTAAAAGTCCAAAATAGAGTCTTTATATAAATATAAAGTAAAAATCCAAAATAGAGTTGAGAGTCCAGATCTGGACTTTTATAAAGTAAAAGTCCCAAATAGAGTCCAGATCTGGACTCTATTTTGGAATTTTACTTTATATTTATTTTTATACTATATGTGTTTTAATTTGTAACCTAATAAATTCAAAGTTATTCCAATTCAAGTCATTGAAGCCTTCAGGAATCTTCATTGGGGGAGTGCCATCCCTAGAAAGTGACACTTTGCTTACCACCCTCAGAGCCAGGAATTTAAGACTCTTAAAAAGGTGAGCGCTATACCTACCTTAGTTGGATTACCTATATTCTATAAAGTACCGCACATTTGGTCGCTTTTTTCTCCCTCTTTTTGTATTTCTCCCGGATGGAACATCAGTTATTAAGTGGTGTGTTGCTGCCCTAAAAGCAAAAAGGTTTTCCTTACAGAGCCAATAACATATAGGCTCCAGACTATGTGAGTGGTTCTATTTTATTTACCCATCACCGATTATTGTCCAAGACCATCTGCACTATTAACTTTATATTTTCTTCTTTTCCATATGTATCATTTGCATTTGTTTGTTGTCACACTGAATTGATGGGGTAAGTTTAACACCTGCACTATCCTCATTTTACAGCGCTCCACTAATTGGTATACGTAGTATACCATACATTTCCTGTATATCTAAGATTTATTTTAGGAAAAGGGTATTCCACTGTGTGTAGAATTGCTTTTTAATTTAGGCACTTTATTATATCACTTACTTTCTCCTAGTAGAGGTAGATTTTTGTTCTTATTGTTTAGAACAGAGAAATGCCTAAAAATAGCCCCTACCCCTTCTTCCGCTTTCTGATCTGTGAGCTAGTAAGTTACATACCCAGTGAGCGCTACGGAATCTGATGGCGCTATACAAATAATAAAATAATAATAATAATATGTGGGCCAAAGTGAGCCCAATCCTTTAGGTCTATTAAAAAGCAAAACAAACACACAAACATTCTGCTAAATATATGATCAGGGAATGTTCTTTCCACTAGGTCAGTGGTTCCAAACCCAGTCCTCAAGTACCTTATAACAGTCCAGGTTTTAGGGATTACCCAGTTGTGTCTAAGGTGTTTTAAGAAGAAAAAAAACAGGTTAGACACAACACGGTAATCCCTAAATCCTGGCCTGGTATACTTAAGAACTGGGTTGGGAACCCCTGCCCTATTTCCAAGTGATAACCCTTCAATATGGGTCTCCAAGCCACTAGCAACCCCCTAATATACCTACCACCCTACTTACTCACTTACCTCAGCCCCCAAAAGTACAATATTTCCTACCTACCACCTACTATATAAAAATATAAAACCATGTAAAATAATTTAATGCTTAGTTGTTGATATTGAGTGAAGATTTTAAGTTATTTTCTTTCACCAAAATAAATTGGCTGTTAAAAACAATATCACAACACTACTATAAATGAATATAATAATTGACTAAGTACTATAAAAGATAATAAAAATACAATAATTAGAATCATTATAAATGACTGGGCACAAAAAAGCCTGTGCTAAAAAAAGATAAGCAGAGGGTAGATTACATTTTGGGGTGGTATAACTAGGGGCTTGGAGTCTTCAGTCACTCAGGAATATTTAGTCACTTGGAGAGTGATTGGGCTACCTTTTTCCTATATTGGGTAGAGTGTTATTTCTTTTAGCCCCTTAAGGACCAAACTTCTGGAATAAAAGGGAATCATGACATGTCACACATGGCATGTGTCCTTAAGGTGTTAAATATAGCCAGATCAATACGATACAGTCTTACCCAATGGATATTTTGATCATGTGACATGGTATCCTAGGCCCAAGTATCATTGCAATACGAAGCAATGAAACCCACTAGATTATCACTAGTATTACCCTTCCTCCCAATGACCTAGGGAGTTGGAGGAAGGCATTGGGGTCATTCTTCAGATTAGTAAAAATTACCCTCCATCCCCACCACACACAGTACAGAAAGGCATAGAGGCATTCATTTAGGTTGAAATGACCATCTAAGATTGATGTATCTCTTGTGAGAAGGAGATACAGCTCATGGTACTGGTTTGCCCTTCTGGATGGAAACCAGTCCTATGTGCAAAAGCATATAGGTTTTTTCTTACAAAAATAAACAGTTTTATGTTCTCCAAATGAACAGTTTTGCTCCAGCAGGAAGATATTTTATTCTGGCTATTAAATTCCATTTTGGCATAAAAATACAATGTTGCCAGAAATTCAACTTGACTAGTTTTAGTAGATGTCATTTATACAACAGGTCAAATTTACGGTATATTTATCTAATGTTATAAATTGGAAAATTTAATTTTATCTTATGTAGCTTACACGTTTAACTGAAGAAGAGCATGTGCCATGCTGGCAGAGAGAATAAATAATGGGTGAAAAAACTAGTGCCATTGGTAAGAAAATAATAGTTTGTTGCTGATTGCAGAAATTGTATTTTCTCATCTAATTTTGAAATAAAATGTAGATACATTGCTGTACCTCACATTTCTGCTATTTTTATCTCAATAGAAAAATCCTAATCACAACTGCAATGAAATGATTAGAATTTTAAAGATAATAATTTCTTTGAAAGCCTTCATTTTGATAATAATAAAAAAAAATATTAATTTATAAATAAGGTATTGACCTCTGCTAGAATTACTGAAACCCGATAAAATAAAAAAGATCAAAGAACCATATGCTAGAGAAGCTCACCTCGGCACTGCAGATATGCATGGATTTCATTTTCCATTCTGACATTAATTAGTTCCAATGTTATTCATCACAGTGCTAGACCTAACAATATTTTGGGTATCTCCATGTATGTCATGTAATTTAATATTTTATTATATATTAGAATGTGTGGTTATGCTAGGTAAGATATTAAAAGGGTATACAACCAAGATATAAAAAAATACTTTACATGCTATGGTGTTTGAGGAGTAACCCAAAGATCTTTTATATATATTATTTTAATGATATGATACCTGTGTAATCTTTATTTAGAAATCCCTTAATGCTTAGCTTTAACAGTGTTTTTCTTTAATAAAAACATATGGATGTGCTTGTGTGTGTGTGTGTGTGTGTTTAATTTTGCACAGTCTATCCTTGAATTTCCCAATATAATATTGAAAATAACATATTACATTTTTTGCTTTTTTTCCTTTGGTACAAGTATATTTTGAATGTCTCATCATGTCTAAGACAGGCATGTTGAACTAAAGTGTTTGTTAAACTTCATACCCCATAATTCTCTGCTAGAATATGGCCAAGGCAGAGTATTATGAGACATGTGTTCCATCAATAGTAACGGGGCCACACTTTGACTGCTCCCTGTTACATGATAAGTCCAAATTGCATCTACGTGGCTGATCCATTCTGAAACTCATTACAAACAACGTTATTGTAGATAGTACCTATGTAGTTAGTTACACTTTTCAATACCAGTTATTGACCATGGCTTGTTTATATATATATTGTTCTTTTCATTTACAATATTAAAGACTTCTAAAGAATATATGTTCATATCTGCTTTTACCAAAAGGCATACAAGTGTCTTTGTACAATCTCGCACTGTAACATTTCACTTGGTCGCAAAGTATTCTTTAATAGAGCAAACTTTCTTCATCTGCTTTTCTCAAACAGCGTATTATTTACAGCAATAAAATAAAGGTCTATGTTAAGGTGATCTAATCACCAAGGCTTGCATTTCAGAAATGTATATATTTATAGTGAGGTTTAGTACAAATGTTGTCATGATGATTAAATTGAATAAATATTTAGCTTAACATTTTAGGCACGAATGATTACTAACGAACGTTCTCAGTGAAGAAATTGTCTAAATCACAAGACTAGGTTAAGGTCTAAAGATGAATTTGGCGTTCACAAAACAGTTTGATATCACACTGCTTTCTCTCCTCAGTGCCCCTCCCCCCATTTGTAAAAGTACATTTAATAAATCTCATATCTATTGGCTAAACTTTACACTACATGCCTTAGGATATACCGATCCTTTATGTTACACACAAATAAAACAATAAATACTAAGGGGAAAATGAAAATTATGACGCACAAACAGCAGCACTAATGAAAATGAAGTACGTAGCAGTTTGAATACCATTAGTTTTGTGGACAATAGTGGCTTTATCATGTTCTAAAAAGGACAAATGGCTTTTGTATGCTACAGAATTATTTATATTTCTTTTTTTTCTGTAATATGAAAAAGGAATATATGGCAAAATATACGGTTGTAAAATGAAATGGAAGCATTGAACACATTTGGTTTATATTGCAATGATAACTGTGCACACAGAAGACAGCTTATTTTTACTCTTGCATTAAAATATTTTTCCTCTCAAATATGTAATCATTAGCACTCGCATCAATTTAAAAATGTATGGCAAAACTAACAACGAACATGATCTCAATCTAAGTGAATTCATGGTAAAATTTAAAATAAAAATACAAGCACAAACATATACAATGATGATTAACGAGTGAATGAAGAGATATACTAGATAGACTAGAATATTTATAACATGATCTTCCATTAATGTTGAAATTTACAAGGTGAAAAAAAACAAAATCTCACATTATTAGCATGAAACTGCTGAAAATTCAAATCGCAGTCAACATAGACTTGTAACTGTGACTCCCTTCTTACCCTAATAATTTGAAAAAAACAAAACAAAAAACTAGTAAGTAAACATTAACCATAAATGTGTATTCAAAGAAAAAAAAATTACAAAAATGTTCTTTAATGTTTAAAATAAAGGAAGACAAGCTTATGTGTATGCATTTATATTCATGGAAGTTTTAGTGCTAAACAGTTTGTATAGTATTTTTTTTAATATATTTTTACATTCTTTATGCATGGTAAAGCCATCTAAAATATTTCTTCATTTTAGATACTATGAATCTATAAGTTAAAATCGTTTTTGGGATAGTTTCAGTTTATTACAGTGCTGGCAGTATGTACACGTAATAGGCATCATAAATTTGAAGCATATCGTGGTTTATCTGTGTCTGTGTCTGTGGTTGGTGTAGAGGAATCCTTACTGGGTGCTAGAGTTGGTTGTGGTTGTGTTGGTGTTCCAGCTCTTGCTGGAGGTAGAGCTCCTGAGGACATCTGGCGAAATAGGGCCACCCTTGGAGGGACATTGCTCCGATTTCCAGATTGAGTTCCGGTAGCTTGTACATTTGACGTGGGTTGTGGGAGAGATGCCAAAGATTCTCCTACTGTTGGATGTGGTCTAGCCACTAAAGTAGAAATCTCATGGGGCAATGAAGGCTGTGAGGCAGAAAGAGGCCTCACTTCTCTTGATAGGTTAGAGTTTTGAAGTGTTTGAGCGCTCTTGTGTACTTCATTACTCTGTGTTGATCCAGGTGCCTGTTGCTGCAACAATGAAAGTTGTGAAGCAGTTGGAGAACTGTAATTAAATGTCCGACCTGCCAGTGGACTTTGTACAGAAGGACTACAGGCTGCTGCCGTAAAAGATGAGGGTGAAAAAACAGCAACCTGTTGTGGTGTCTGTGGACTTGGTGTTGGAGATTGCAGGTTTCCATGAGACAGGCTATTTGCCGTATAAACAGGTGGAGATTGGGTCCTCATTCTTAATGATGAGTTGGTGCTAGAATTAAGAGCTGGAATTTGTTGGTAGCTAACTGAGGGAATTCCTTCCACCATCTCCCGATCTTGTTTCACTATCTGCTTCAGAATCTCGCTCTCTTGGTTGTTGAATACTCCTGTGTTGAGGTCCTTTTGAAATCTTTGCTGAAGAATTGAGTTCTTCTTCCCTGTTGGTGAAAAATATTTTTAGCATGTTTGCTTTTCAAGAAAACATGAAGAGTTGACTACTAAATAACGTTAGAATATATTCAGGTTATGAATATATCTTTCAGATTAATTTATAAATTATAAAGCAGACTTGTCCTATAGAGGTTTTCTAGAAATTGAGTAATATAAAATGGTACATGTATCAGTAAAAGTAATCACATGAAATATAAAATGATACACTAGGAATGTGGTCAAAACATAAACAGAGGGAATTAAATTCAATCATATGCTAGCATACAAGTAATTTATAGCTCATCTGACACTAATCTATAAATGAATTAAGTATGCTCTCTTCAAGTAGCGTATGTGGTTAAGGACCGCAATCCTTCTTTGTTAAAGCAGGTAAAAAATTGGTGCCATAAGTGTTAAAAAGTATATTTTATTACTAGAAAAAGGTATATTAAAACAACAATATGAAACCTAAAATAACACTTATTCGGCTATAGTCCAATAGAAAAATCTGTGTGCTCACTGTTCCACCAGGACGCGTTTCGCCAATAGGCTTCCTTAGCTGGAAAAATTCTGTGTGAGATCTAGGGAAATTATGTGAATATCACCATTATTTTTTATTGTATTTATTGCACCAAATTGTTATATAGTATTATATGACTCTTAACATATTATTCATGTATCCTCTGCATTGTGTGCCTTGAGAAATCCATTATTCAACACAGCAATAGACTTATAGACCTTGGAACGCACTGTGAAACGCATAACACTGAATGTGACGAAACGGGAAGTGACGTATTGGCACACAACGTGGAAGTGAATAGACTAATAGGAGGCTTGAAACGCAGGGCATATCTGTTACCTTAGAGATAGCCCGCGAAAATTCAAGCCAATACACAGAGATTCTCCAATCAACAAGGATATTTAAATCAGGAAGGAGTCCCTAGATCTCACACAGAATTTTTCCAGCTGAGGAAGCCTATTGGTGAAACGCGTCCTGGAGGAACAATGAGTACACAGACTTTTCTATTCGACTATAGCTGAATAAGTGTTATTTTAGGTTTCATATTGTTGTTTAAATATACCTTTTTTTAGTAATAAAATATACTTTTTAACACTTAGGGAACCAATTTTTTACCTGCTTTAACAAAGAAGGATTGTGGTCCTTAACCACATACCCTAATTGAAGAGAGCCTATTTACTGGCTCTGGGTTGTGAGTACACATTTGCTATTTTATATTATTTACTTACAGCACAAACTGTAATACACTATATACTTTCCTCCTATACCAACCATCTAGGATATAATCCCAGGAGAAGTTTGGACCTAAAGGAGGGTGAGGGTCGCCTTAACGGACCCTAAGGCACATATACCTGAGCTAGGCCTTTAGCTCAGAAAAGTGTGAGTTATTATTTTTCACATCTACCTTCACAATTCTATTTCACTATACGGGTAGCACTATGTTGTGTATATTTGTGTTTTATTTTTAAGGTACACACAGGATTGTTGATACCTCTTAAAAGTGACTATTATTCCTAAAGGTATACCTTTTTAAGCTTTGTTTATCACAATACTTCTATATCCATTACAGTTTATTAAAATGCTGCACCGAAAACTCCTTTACTCTCTACAGTTTCTGATAGAAAGATAACCATGGTGTAAAAGCAGCTTACTTAAATCTGGTGTACATAAGGGTATAAGGAAATTATCCACTCATATAAGTGTTAGTACTCTTCTGTTTTTATAAATGAATTAAGAATACTGTGACAGCACATTGTGAACATAAAACAGTTCTAACTTGTTTATTAAATTTTCAATAACGGCGAAAATATGTTTTCCTTTTTTAATTTAAATGATATTTGGGTATTTACAAACCATTCATCCTGAGTCATTTTATATATATATATATATATATATATATATAAATTAAAAAAGTTATTACTACTAAATAATTATGTAAAGGCTTAAGCTGTAAAAATTGCCTATGAGCTCTCTCCCCACAGATGCCTGTTCGAACAGGAGAGTACTACATATGTGTGAAATATACCGTATTTTTCGCTCCATAAGACGCACTTTTTTTCCCCTCAAAAGTGAGGGGAAATGTCTGTGCGTCTTATGGAGCGAATGTGAAGAATTACTTACCTGTCTTGGAGCGTGGGCCGGCTTCACAGCGCGCTCCGCGGTCCAGGAACTTCTATTTCAGGTTCCGGTTTCCGGCGGGACTGAAAGGAAGTGTGCACACTGAGTGTGCACACTTCCTTTCAGTCCCGCCGGAAACCGGAACCTGAAATATTAGTTCCTGGACCGCGGAGCGCGCTGTGAAGCCGGCCCACGCTCCAAGACAGGTAAGTAATTATGGGACAAGGGGAGGGGGAGACACTATGGGACAAGGGGAGGGGAGGAGACACTATGGGACAAGGGGAGGGGGACACTATGGGAGAAAGGGAGGGGAGACACTATGGGAGAAGGGGAGGGGAGGAGACACTATGGGACAAGGGGAGGGGAGGAGACACTATGGGACAAGGGGAGGGGGACACTATGGGAGAAAGGGAGGGGAGACACTATGGGACAAGGGGAGGGGGGACACTATGGGACAAGGGGAGGGGGGACACTATGGGACAAGGGGAGGGGGGGACACTATGGGAGGGAAAGTGCACTATGGGACAATGGGAGGGGGGACACTATGGGATCAGAACACTAATGGACAAGGGGAGGAGGGGTTAAAGAACACTATGGGACAGGGTAGGAGGGGTTAACAATCACTATGGGACAGGGTAGGAGGGGTTAACAATCACTATGGGACAGAGGAAAGGGGGGTTAAAGATCATTATGGGACAGGGGAGAAAAAAAAATATTCTGAACAAACTGTCCCATGGTAAGAAACACTATGGAACAGTTTGTTCAGAATATTTTTTTTTTCTGGGTTTCCTCCTCTAAAAACTAGGTGCGTCTTATGGTGAGGTGCGTCTTATGGAGCGAAAAATACGGTAATTTCCTTAATTTATATTTACTGAAGATGACAATAACACATGGAGCTCTCAGAGTTTTGCTATTGAACAACTCCATTCCCCTGCACAGGGCAGTACTCCACCCAATGATTCTTTTGACAAGGCACCCCTTTGATATGCAATAAACAAAACTGGAGGCAGGCTTCAATCTGCTTACATTAAAAAATTATTCAGAGTAAAAAAACAAACAAATTAACAAAAAACAAACAAACACTACAGTTCAATGATTATAAGAGTCTATGGACACCATCCCACTTTTTCTTAAAACTACCTGCACTCTCAGCCAATCACTGCTATCCAGGCTGGACTGATATACAGAATGTATAAATTCTGTATAGCGAATATGGATGGAGAGAGAGTGGGGTATCCCAGGTTTTGATTTGCCAAAAAAAGATGTGCGATAGAGCCTCTTTGAACATAATCACTACTCTGAGCTGCAGTGGTTGTGGTGCTTAGAGTGTGTCTTTAACAAGAATTCGGTCAAGACAGGGAAGACAATGCACTTAACAAGTATCTATAGACATAATGTGTGTTGTAATTTGCTCTTTTTTACTCTCTTTGCACTGAACCCAGCTTATTCTAATCTAAACATAGCCCATTCTTACATTAAAAAAATCATATTAGGAGGTAGATGTGGGTGCATTCTCTAACATATTGTAAATGGCATTACACAATAAAGATAGTCTATTGATTAACTCTGCACTACAAGGTCAGGTTAGATGTATAAACCACTTTCCAATACAA